CATACAAGGCGTTATCTTAACAAGCTCCTTATAGGGACAAATCAATGTCATATTAGTGCCAACTTGCTTCCATTCATTTACTACGTGTGCGTCCCTCCCTAGGCAGGCTCTTTGCATTGGTTCCTAGGCAACTGGAATAATATTGCTGCACGTGTGTGTCAGGCATTGATTGCCTTTGGGGCTTTTTTTGTGTTGTAAGTGAACACAGGCTAGTCCATTTTCCTTTTCTTTGTGTTCTGCTAAAGTCTCTGAGAGTTTTGAAGGGCACGTCTGTGATATTCACAGCTGAGCAATTCAGAAATACTTGCAGACAGGCACATGTGCCTAGTGTGGGATGGTGATCAAGCTGGAATCCCTAGGCAAGGCTTACTTCAACTGCTGTGGTTTGCTCTTTTGGGGTTCCAGGTATTTCAGTATTTTGGATGCTTGATGAATGTTTAGCAGCCTCTAAGGAAAATGTAATGAACAACCCCATTTTATGTTGCTTTTACTCTTCATGGAGGGAAAGAAAGAAGTGAAGGGTTCTAGTAAGTGAAGGGATTTGATTACTGAAATTAATTTCAAGGGCTTACTCGCTTGACCAAGTGTGTGCAAAGTCTGGCATAGGGCAAGTGTTTTTTTTAAATGAAAAAGTGGAATTTAATATATAAAATTACAAGAGAAAGGGTGGTGGGTGAATATGGCACTGCAGTGAGACAGAGGAGCTCTTTGCCCTTCTCAGCTCTGCTAAGAGCTCCTGCCTGACCTTGAGCAAGCCAGTTCACCTCTCGCTTCCCATTTGTGAGGCAGGAATGGTGCTGTATTTGCCCTTCACTGTTTGTTCATTTCAGGAATGAACAGCATAACTATGAGCTGCTTTGATTCCCTAATTGCTGTTTGGAAGCCAGACAGGTACAGCCCATGTGCATGGCACCGAAGGTGTCCTAAGAAACCTGGTAGCTTCATCCAAACACAGTCACGCTGGCCAGTCTGTCAACAGGTAAGGTTCTTAAAAGACAAAAAGCCTGTCTTTCACATGACATCCTGGACCACCTGTTGATCATCCCTGCTTTGTTATGTCTGTTTAAGGTGAAAGGTCTTCGAGGCTTCTTTGTGTTGCACCCCCCTCGTTGGGCACCTGATGCTGCCCATGGGCACTTTCATGGTGTACAGTACAGAGGAGAAATATGAGTATAATCGATTGGTTGTGCAGCATCTAGAATTACTTGAGCCATAATCCCGAGAAACATATGTGGAAAGCATGAAAAGAACATGCCAGAATTCAATTTACAAAATATTGTTATGTATATATTTCAAATGCCCAGACTTGATGGGAGATACTAACATCGGCACTTCCTCAGCATACAAGGAATGATTATATGCTTTTAATGTAGAAAGGCTTTTCTTTTGTAACTAGTAATGATAATAATAAGAGCATTATAATGCCTGTCTGGCTGTGGAAAGCTTTGCCCTTTCTCTTACGCTTTCCAGTGTAATAGAAATTATTTAGAGGATTGAATAATTCTCTGCATTTTTGTTACTCTGGTGTTCAAACAAGTAGAACATCCTCAAAACATAAGTCTCAACAGAAATTGAGTTAGGTCAGGAAAGAGGAAAAAAAAGGAAAGAAAACACCAAAATAGAGAGGAATCTATTTCAGCTGCCTTCTTGGAAGACTCAAGTCTGTATGAAAACAATGTGCAACGTTCACTAATTCTTCAAATACTGTTTGAAAAATAGCAAGATGCTGTTAATGTGCTGTATCACAATATCATTCATTAAAGAAGGAAACATGAAAGGCCTGAATGGCTACAGACTCATAAGCTTATTATCAGGGGTGTATAGAATTCTCACAAAAGATGGAGGGACTTTTTGGCCTCTAGACAAAGAAGAAGTCAGTAGTCAGAAATAATACCTGAACTGTGAATTACCTATGACAACAACAAGGGTTAAGGGAAAGATAAGTAAGTATAGTGAACTATTAAGTGAACCTTTTATAGGCTACAAAAATATTTTGTTTCTCCAGAGAAAATAAAGTAATTTTGGAATACTGAGGCTTGAAAATAGCGGTAAAAAACCCCTGTGAGTCTCTATGTGGAGATTAAGAAGAAATCTGTTTGTAATATTCTAAGAAGGAATATAAAGTTGATGGGGGTTTTGGTATCACTGGAGAATTTCTTCCAGTGAGATTAGAAATGGTCAACCAGTTGACATTCCAGGACAATTAAGACCAACTGTATTTGATATGATGAAAAGCAAAGCTGTAGATGGCTTGGGGTAGTATAGCTCCATCACTTGAAAGGGAGTAGCTTGCCATTTGCACATGGGCAGAGCAAGATCAGCATTGCCCCCCTGCACTGGTAACTCACTTCCTTTGGCAGGGAGGGAGGGATACGAGCATGTGGTCCAAGTATGCTCTCTACATGTCCCTGTGGAGAGCGTGGGACAACTTTGTTTTGCAACTCAGAGCACTTTTCCTCCAGGCTGCTACTTTGTTGTCATCTGCACGCCTCGGTTGGGGCTGGGAGTACATCAATCTTCACCAGAGAAAGCAGAAAATAGGTTTTTAGAGGAGCAGTCAGGGGTGGAGGCACCAGAATGGAGTGATGATGACAACAGTGGCTGCCAGTACTGTGAGATCCAGGGCTGGCTGTTTGTGCTGCCTCTGCTGAGTGCCTGGCCATGGAGGGGTCCTGGTCAGAGCCTCAGCTATTGCACCAGCTCTGATAAATAACAGTTCATAAATTTTTTTCTCTCTTTTGATTCTGAGGGATATGAAAGAAGTTTGTTAATTTTTCCACTGAGCTCATTTCTGAAAATCAAATTCATATTAAACCCTGTCAGTCTTTGTTTGCTCTGTTGATGGCCTTTGACTTGAGAGAGCAGGTGTGCTGGCTCCTCTCTCATCCTGCTCCATCCATTTCAGCAGCAATTTCTGATAGGTTTTGTCACTTCCATGTGTGTTGTGGAGAAATATTGGGCTAGCATGGGGAGTGGCAATGCAAGAGCACAAAATTACGCTCCTCATCAATCATTTCCCTCTAGCAACTTCCAGGGCATTGTAAATTGCTGACTAACAAGGGAGAATTAGCTTGATAAAATCACCATTAGTGTCAGGTCAGAGTAGTGTAAAGTTTTAAAGACACTGCTGTCCTCTGTCTCTTCCTCATCTATTAGTGTGTCTGTTCCTGTAGATCCCAAACCAGCAAAGCATGTAAGCACATGCTTTGTTGGAGGCAGATCAGTAATCTCAAGGAAATCACTGAGATATGAGTCCTAAGCATGTGTTTATGTGCTTTAATGGATCAGGGCCATAACACACACTCTCTGAGTACAAAAATTGTAAATATCTCTGTGTAAGCTGGTTTCTTGATTCAGAACCAGGTTTAGACTCCGTAGCTGTACTTAAAAATATGACAGTCAAGTTTTACTGCACGAGAGCAGAGAGCATGGAAGCGAATAGATGTACTACATTATACTTAGCCTTTTTCACCTTGCTTTTTTTGCTTGTTATTTGAGCTTTATCAGTTTATGCTAGATAGAAATGTGCCTCTCCAAATCTCCGCATAGCCTTCTCAAAGCTCTGCAGTTACTAAAATTTAGGCCATGTTTGGACTTGTGCATAAAACTTCAAGTGCAGCCAGATCAGGAACAGTTTTAAAAAGTTCCAGGTGAGATGCAGACACAGCCGATACGGGTTGTTTTAGCTCACAGACTTACCTCAGTATTGCCAGACCCCTTACCAAGTACTGCAGTTTGCCTTGTGGCTTCTCAGTATTTGGGGTTTGTTTCTTCATGTTTTCAATTTTTCTTCACATTTTCAATTTTTCTTCACAGTCTTGAAGACAAGAATCTTATTTCTGTGCAAAATAAGTTCAAAGCAAGCAAACAAAAAACCCTCCTAAGGTTATAACAATGGATTCTCATATAGTAATTTGACTACAATAGCTGCAAGAAGGAAAAGTGCAGGGCATTTCAAGATGTCCCACAGAATTGCTAGGGTGACCAGCACCAGTATTTCAGGATTGCTCTAAAGTTGGATGTTTTGTTGCTTTTATGACTTGATTATCCAACTGGAATCTAAGACTTTTTACCTCTGATGCTGTCATCCTTTTAGTTTTTATTTCGACTACAAAGCTGCAGCGACTTAACTCAGTACTACAGATAGTTACTTGCATTGAAAGGCTGAGAATGTCCAACTCTTTAGTTGTACCCATTCGTGATCACCAGATGTTTCATTGCTCCACAGCCACCTGGAACCTGGATCTGCTGTGACATTATGTCCATTGCCTCACAGTGTCCCAAAAGTAATCCAGTCATCTTGTCTGAGCAGCTGATTTGTTTGAAGTCTCAGTGTCACATTTGAGAACAGAATAACACAGCTTTGAATGCCAGAAGCTATAATTATGTTGATCTAGTCCAATCTTCAACAGGACACAGAACAGGCAATATCACCTCACTCTGTTTCAAATTTTACTTTGTTAAATGACAACTTCTCCTGCTGTTGAAGTGGACTGTTTTTTACTCTTTCCAGGACAGCTGACCACTGGAATTTCAATGTCATATTGTGGCTGTTGCAAATCACAGAATCTGTTTCTGCAAATGCTGAAATATATCTTATTGGAAAATAATATTGTAACTCTTCATTTACAAACCAAAGCAACAAGCTTGTCTTTCATAAAACAAAGTTGATGTTTCTTCTATGATACACCTGAATGCTAGTTACTAAGAAGAAAAGTATTAATCCTTCTAAAAATTTCTATCTGTGAAGCAGAAGTGCTGGAACAGATTCTCAGCAACTGCAAATGGATTCAAGTCAACTTATTTTAGTGATCCTGAGTAGCTTTACACCAGCAGAAGTGTGGGCATGCAAAGTGCCTTTTACAAAGCCACTCTTTAGAAACTCTTTGAGCTACCAGGATGGTTTCAAGGAATGTCTGCTGCCTGTAGTCCTCATGAAGCCCATTGCATGCTGTGCAATCATTTTGTAATTCAATTTTGACACTAATTTGTGTTTGCAGGTGTGAAAGCTGTGGTGCTGTCTTCCATTCTGAGTGCAAAGTGAAGGCTGTACCGTGCCCCAGGTGTGTGCGCAAAGAGTTGCAGAAGAAGCAGAAATCCTTCTGGAGACAACTGAATATGGACGAGAACTTTGAAGAGTCTTGCAACATGTTTGAATTGTCATACCAGAACACATGAGTTCCTTAAGGCTGGGGCCAACCTGAAGAGAATCCCTTTCCCAGCTGCCAGCTCAAGCAAATTCTCAGCTTAGCCAGGCAGAAATTTTTTTGAAAAGTATTATCTGACCTTCTTCATCTGTGAATAACAGCTGCCAAATTGGCTATAAAGCCTTGTTGGCTTTGAAATACCAATGGCTAAACTGCATTGAAGTCCAACCACTAGCTCTCATACAAAATGTGGTTTACCTGAAATGCTTTAGGTCTAGGTAATTAAGCACCTGACTTTCTTTTCCACCTCTGGAGAAGACTTTTTCTCAAGGCAGAAAATATTTGCTGCTATGACCAGGTTATTTTTTATGTTTTTCATTTAGAATTGCTGAATCATCAACTTATTTATGTGTATTATTTATTTATTAGTAGCCTTGGCAGAGGGTCTGATGGGGTGTTTCACAGAACCCAGTAGAGCAGGAATTATTTTAATTCCACTGTCTCCTTCTGATACAGACACGTGGTTCCATTTCCTCATGTTTTCCGAAAACTATTTTGAAGAGCCAGTGCATTTACATTTTAAAGGATCTGCTTGCCAAGGAAAGAAAAGGATCTCCCACCAAACTTATTGGAGGTGCTTACAAACATAAGACTCAGAATTCCTTAATTTATGTTTATATATTCATAACCACCCCAGTGAACTATTCCATATGCAGATAAGCAGGGGACTTCCTACTCTTTTTATTCAGGCTGGGTATATTGGTTCAGCTCAGTCACTGAAGTCTATGGAGTTTCATGCTTGTTATTCTTGATCTGTGGAAGGCCATGTCCTCATCTCCAGTAACATGATGTTGGCTCTGACCTCCTTCTAGTTTCACACTTTAAAGCATTTAAAGTGCCCACATTGGTTTTCTTTTTATTTCATAAAGTTTATTTTAAATGTTTTTCTAACCTGAACCTGATAAACTGATAGTCAGGAAAGTTGTCTTACCCGTTTTGGTTAGAAAATAACCTCCAAATTGTGAAACACTACTTTGCTGTTTTCATATGCAACTCGTGTCCTGCATTCTCTTTGAGCTTCAAGGCATTTTATACTTCTGTAGTGACTTCAGTGGTGGAGAGCGAAGTTCCTCGAGGTATGATTCTGCTCCACACACCTGGAACACAGGAAGTATTAACCACAGCGAATCCTATTGCGAAAGGGAAGTACATGATGGATTTAACTGGGGAGATGTGTGTCATCACTGGCAGTTTGTTTAATTCGTTGTGAGTTCACCTCCAGTGAGTAGTTAGAGATTGTCTTCCCTCCAGTCCACGTTCTTAACTCTTTTTTCCACACCCTGCAGTGAAGTGTGTATTATATACATATGAAAGCAGTCACATATATATATACACACACACACATCTATGTACAGAAAGCAAATACAGTTTCAGGGAAAAAAAGCCAGTTGCATGTATTTTTTCTCTCCTCTCACACAGGTTTGTGAAAGTGTGGAATACTGATCTTTGCTTCCTATATAATCTTCTGACTGTTTTATTCAAGATTGAAAGCAGTCTTGGTCATTGAAGCATCTCACTAATTGCTGAAGTATTTTAAATAACAGGGTACATCATGCTTATGTTAAAAAGTAAAATGCTACAGTGAGTTGCCTTGCACTGGAGTATAAGTGGTTACCTTTTCCAGCCTCCAGTCACAGAAAAAGTAGCTGAATCTGAGCTTTTTCAAGTTTGAGTGCAACTACTATATATATAGAAGCATGTTTATATCTTGTATACATTAGACAACCAGTGCCTTTCTTTTCCAGAAGTCCTTCTCTCTGTGGGATTCTTTGGAAGGAAGTGAGGGGTTTTCTGTGTTCTTGGCAAAGTACTGTAGGGATCCCCATGTTTAATAAACCTGGTGAATCATGCACCTTTGTCACTAAAATTAATACTTCCCCTACACAGTGGTGTCTTGTCTAGGCTCACTGTTCCTCATGTGAAGTGAGTTGCTTTTGGCTATCACCTTTAAAGGTATAATGTTCCTTGCAAATCCATTCCCACAAGACGAATTCCCGGCGTGTTCAGAAATGCAAACACTGGGGAAGTATTGTGGAATTAGTCATGCAAACAGGAACTGCACTGGTACTGGCTGAATAAACAGTACGCTCCCATGTTTTTCAGCATGTGTCACTACAACTAGTCCTGTGGCAAAGCCAGTAGCTCTGAAACTGTCAGGATCTGGCAGGAACTATTTTGAATTATCTGTAGATAATGTTAGGTGGTTAAAGAAAAAATGATAGTGTTTTTCATATCATCGTGCTCTGGTATTTAAGATACCTTACATTGCTGGTTCATGTCCAGCTCAGTTTGGAGAAGGCTCCTTGTGCACACTGTCAAAAACCATATGGAGTCAAGGAATCAAGGTTCAGACATTACAAACTATTAGTTACTTTGACAGATGTCCTGATCTCCAAAGTACCAGTTGTGTGTGTGGTTAGATATTGGAATTGAATTCTGGAATAACAACATAGACAGCACTGGAGTTGCTCTGGGTTTGTACAGGTATTACAGAACAGTTTCTTTGCTAATAGAGAGTTAACAGAGAATTTTAAAAAAAGTGTGATGTTGGCAAAACTGCTAGAATTAGTCATGGATCTGAAACCACTGCCATTACTAATGACAAAGAGCAAAAGCATGTTGTTACAATATGCTGTCAGTGCCCAGAGCACTATGTAAAAGGATACTGTACCATACAGACCAAATTAATTCCTTTAAAATCCAATGTTGTTGTAAAACAGCTAGTTCCTAAAATACACGTTCATTTCTACTTTGGAAAAATAATATGGCTTCATGATAGCTATAGGAGCAGACCATAATGTGGAAAATGCTGTCCTCTCAGGGATGCCCAGCTCCTATCCAAAAAATATTACTCCATATGAATGGGCAAGACAAAGTCTTTTGTCACTGCTTTTTGTAAGCATAATGGAAGGCTTGATCCTGCCCTCAGAAGGTGCCGATGCAGTAGGCAGAAGCCCTATTAATTTTTCAGGACTGCAATGCAAAAGAATAAATTGAAATTACTGCTCACATTATTAACTCTCAAAAGACCTGGCTCTAAAAGGGACATTTTCTTGACAGAGCCATCTGCAAGCAGGAGATTCAGCCTGGGGTTCTGTAGGTGGTTTGGGTTTCAGACGATGCTGTACCTGTGCATGGTTGTCTTTGCTGTACTAACAGTGCTGTGTGCTGGTCCCCACTGCTGCTCTGCACGTGGCTCTGCTCTCCAGACTTCTGGATGAGCATCAGCTGGAAAAGTTCCTGGGGTTCTTTGCAGATTGCACTTCTCTCTTGCCTCCCCACACACAGGTGAAATTATGTATTGGTACTTCTAGTATTGTCCTACCCATGCATGAAATAAATTTGAACAATGCCATTTCATTGTGAGTCAAGAATAAAATATGCCGTGTTTCTCCTTCACAGAGAAGATGCTTTCATAGCTGACTGAGGAGGAATTGATCTGTAATCCAGTTACTGCTTTTGCTTTGTACAAAACTTGTAATCAGTGTAGAAATAGGATGCTTCACTGCAGTGGACTATAGTTTCACACTCTACAGGTACTTATATTTGTTAGTCTGAGGTTATTTTAATCTAGGACACTATAGAGATCCTTATTCAAGTTTCTTTTCCTCTTTACCCTGACCATCTGCCTTTCCTTTAATGGGAAGAAGGGTATGCAAACTGCAGCGTTTTTATATTATCAACCTATAAAAAGAGAAACTTGTATTTCTTGTGTAGAAATCTTTCTCTTACCATTTTTTTTTTTCTTAGGCTGTGGAAAATGATCGGTTTGTGATGTGACAAAATATCCTGGTTGGCACATACCAATATGGGCTCACTGCTGGGATGATAGGAATTGGTAGTTGCGAGGGAAGGTACTTTTTGGTGAGAAACTCAAGTTTTTCACAGTATTCCACAAGCTCTAATGGCCCTGTTAGGAGCAAATCATCAGGGTACTTGTAGAGCTCCTCTTGTCAAGGCTTCTCTTATAATCAGGATGGTGTGTGTATTATAAGGAATTGATGATAATGTCTTCAAAGATTTTTTTAAGAAAAGCAGAGGATGTCTGTTTACAATGAAATGGGGAAGCTGCACAGTTGAATTTTGCTTTTTCCCTGTAGCAGCTGAGTTTCCCAGGCTTCCCAAGGTCACTGCCTGGATTGCAGCTTACTGTTGATCTGTATAGAAGAAATGAAATAATCACAATAATCTTTTCACTCTTTTTTTTCCTGCTGCTCAGCTGCAAGCCAGTCTCTCCTCTCTTTCTCTCACTGTCTCTGTCCCTGTCTCTACTCCCAGTGCTGAGTCTACAGCCAGACTTGGAGCTTCAATGCTCCTCGTGTTGTTTTTCAAGCGGTTGAGTCCAATCATTCTCTCCTTCGTAATTTGCCTTTCAATTTTCCCCTTCCCAGTAGGAGTGCCTTACAGTACTGTATATTAGCCTCTATCTTCCTGGTTTGGATTTCCTGATTGCATCTGCTGTTCAATTAACTTGGAGGCTTAAACTGAAACTCTCCCATGGCTGTGCCTGCTCTTTTGCAGGAGCAGCTGAGTAATTCAGTTTGGTGGTTCTGCCCTCATGAAGTGAGCTCTACAGGCTGCATACACCAGCTCTGAAGACACCAAGCTGCATGAGAACTCCTCACTTTTGCTCATTTTTGGTGCCTTAAATTTTCAAAAGTGAATAATTTTGTTAGAAATGCTCTGCCATGATGTAGTGTGTTTGCATTGGAGCTTCAACCCTTGCTCATGACAGTTTCCACCTTGCTAGGAATGGTAACCATAAAATTTATTTACTATCTATGCTTTGAGAGGGCAGTATGAGAGAGGATAGCATGGAGATGGTGTTGGGTTTTATTACCTATATTTTTGAGGCTACTTGTGCTTCTCAGCCAGAAATGCAGTTGTGCTTTTGCGAGACCTTCAGAAGAGGTGCATATATAATAGTGGCAAGTATTGGGAGTTAAAATGGGGTCAGGTCACATGCAGTTCCTCCTGGAACCACTGGCCAGTCCACACCACATAGTGAGGGACTCCCACATGGCACTCCCTACTCAAATGCACACCTGGATCTAGTGCTGTGGGAGTGAAGGCATTTCCTCAAAGCTCATTTTTAATGCCCTGGTTCTCTGAAGGCTAACCCAGTGAGGGTTTGCTCAGCCTTGCCTTAGAGAGAGGGTAACCTGTTTAAATTTTAGCATTATTTGCTAAAGTATGTGGTATGTTTCAGCCTGGGGCACAGGTTCATGCTGACTGTGATCTTAGAAGTCCACATTTGATGCCGATAACCCAAATCCCGTTTGACAGTGGCAGTGCTTTTGCTGCATTGTAGCAGTACAGTGAGGAGACAGCCTGGATGATAATGTGCAAAGTCCTTCTTTACTTGAAAACCGTGGTGTGCCCATGCTGGCCTGATTCATATCTTAAAATGCCAGTTAAGGTGGCCATTAATCCAAATTGCAAAGGTGCCACATGTGGTCAGCATCAGGGGTATCCAGGCCTGGAGAGCTATCAGCTGTCTAGGACCAAAGTGTAGTAGACTTTGTCTATGTGCACAAGTGTCAGTGGCTCAATTATTTATTTATTCCTGTCTAATCCACATGTTAAACCAATGTAAATCCTCAAATACACAGCATTGTTTTGGTGGAAAAAGGATTTGGTTTAGTTTTGCTTAAGCAATTGTCTACCAAGTTGATTTTGCTTAAACTGAAGTGTGCTTTTAGGCTGATTTTTAATGGCATCAATACCTGTGAAACCAGCTTAGCTTATATCAGTCCCTGCTACACTTGAGCTAAGCAAAAGTAAGTCATGAGCAAAATGTGTGTTTGATGGGTGTTAAGTGATAAAGGCAGCTCCCAAATCAACTTTAGTTCAGTCGAGGCAGTTAAAAGCCAGGGAAAGCCAGGCACGAGCAGCAGAGCGCAGTGGCTGATGTGGTCCCTGGCAGTCTGGGCTTTCCTTCCTGCCAGAGCACCAGCTCACCTGCAGCATTTGCAGTGAGTTGTATCATTGCTGGCAGTGCACCCTGAGTTTTTTGAAAACCATTATGTGTGTGTGCTACTCTGTTAACTTATTTGCAACATCGTTGTGTACGTTCCGTTGTTCTTGTGTTTGCATTGTTGTTTTGGGTTTTTTTACTTTTGACAAGGATTTTTTTAAATTATCTGCAACTTCTAGGCAACAGTCTTAATTTATTATTGATGTGTAAAGATGTTATAATATAAATTCACTGAGTTGAATTGCTTGTAGACACTTGAGCAGGGTTTATTTGGGTTCACTTGTGACAGCATCATAGCACCAGTCCCTCGTGTATAAAGGCAACTCTCAATAAACACTAAAAAAAAGTTACTCGTCCTTTTTAATTTGCCTCCCAGTGGGCACCATACCAGAGGTAGAGCAAGCTTTGAAAGAGTGATAGTTTTCTTAAAAAGGCTAATCTACTGGTGAAAGTCTTCCAAATCTAGGAAAATTATGATACTCAATGTTCCTGCGTCTCAGCCAGGTCTCTGGAATTACTGTCGATGTCTGTATTGGGCTCTGTGGGTTTGGATTCCCAGTTAAATTTGTTAAGTGTTTTTGGAAAGCCACAAATTCTTGGATTTTTACTGGTGCTGACCCCCTCGAAAGCTCCCAGGGGAGCTTACTGGGAGCTATGGCTTTCAGGCACCTTTGGATACAGAGTTCCTGGGAGTCATGCAAGTGGCAGCTGCCCACTGCATGGCTGTCACATGGACCTCTGCCAGAAGGGTCCAAGCTCAGGGCTTTAAATCCTGAGTAAGGGAGGCATCTCCCAGCTGGAGTAAAGGGACCACTGGGGGCCTGGAAGGGTAGGATTTTGCCCATGTTGTAAGGGTTTTCCCACTAATGTAGGGTGTAGGAGCAGCCACGATTCCTGCTTTTCTCGGTTGCTTCTGCAGCTCCCTGAAGCTGTGAATGTGGTGACTAAGGATTGCAGCACTGAGACGTGGTGGAGCTCACAGGCCTAAACCCCCTGCCTGAGAGCCCCCAGAGAAATCTATTCCCGGCACTGTGCTCTGGCAGCTTTCACACAGGAGGATATATCCCCTCCCTCACTGTCCTCCTGCCCCTCATCAGAAAGACCAGGGGTCCATCAGAAATGTCAATCGTCTGTCCTGCAGGAACCTTTGGACTTCATCCCTGTGATGAAATCAGCTACAAGCAGGGAGTTAATGTTTGATGAAGATCACACAAGCTGCACAAGAAAACCATGTGCAAGGCCTTCTCTTCCTCCTTATTTGCTTTACAAGGTGAGCGAATTCTGTTATGACATCTCCTTCCCCTTTCACTGCCACCTTCCCTCCTCACTTCACCCTGTAAGAGGTGGTGGGAAAAAGCATCCACCCAGAGCAGAGACCATGGGGACAAGGGAGCCCTGGGAAGAGCATGCCAATTGCAGCTCCAGCTCTTCTCTGAAAGGTCAGGGCAGTTCATTTTTTAAAGACTACCCTTCGAGCTCTTTGACCAAAATTAATATTATTTGGTTTAATATGTGAAGCTGATTGGTTTTCTAAAAGGTGGTGGAACTGGAA